AAAATCGTTTTATGTTCAGTTCAGAGACTGCTTACATTCTAGAAAAATACGAGGTCTACTGAAGACTAAATTGCGGAAAAAAAAGAAAAACAAAGTATAGAACTAAGGATCTCAAACTTAAGCTTTTAAATAAATATACCAGGCCGCGAGGACCAGAAAATTATACTAGCAAGGGTTGTTTTGTTGTATGAAACCCGCCGTTCGGTTTACGGGCAGTAACTGAGGTTACGGATGCGACAAAAAGTTTTTTTTCCAGACAAGTATGAAGTTAAAAAATTTTCTTGGGCAAAACTTAAGCTTTTCACATGTATATGAGAAATTATGGAGACAATATGCCCATTTTTGTTTGCAAATTTGTGTACTTTGACAAAAAACGCGATATATTCAAGAATATGAGGAGTCTGAAACATCAGAAAAACAATTTAAACAGGAGTAACATACAAATTACGGAACGGCTTCCTGAACAAGATGCAGTAATTAAAAAAAACGACCAATGATATAGATTTGATAGGTACCACTCATACTTTCCTTCTGTCCACGATGAAAAGCGTCGGGCAAAACAGAGCTTATGCGAATTGACGCAGTTAATTAATTGCAAAAGATTGATGCTGTTGAACGGAAAAACTGTTCCACGTCGACTCTCGTCATGACGACATCAAGGAGGAATTTTCTGCAAACAACTAACCGTCTCAGTGACTGAATTTTGAACGGAAAATGTGTGCCGCGTGTTAAACAGTGGCAAAAAAAATAAAGTATTTTGAGTTAAATTATAAAGCATCTGAAGGGCTATTCTAATGCAAACTGAGAAACATATTTTGAGACTTTTACAGCGTTTTTGAAAATATCAAATCTTTGCTCTGAAACTGTAAAGAACTAGAATTAGAATTAGAGCAATTGTTTGTCCACGTATCATATGTCCACGTGTCATCTGTTCAACTGAAACCTGGTTCAAAAAACTGTGATACTGCTATCGTCTTGATTCGAGGATAAAAATTCTCCTCTCTATAATTGCGCTAGAACTAAACGAGGAGGAGGTATTGGCATCTATGTCAACACCGGGGTCGAAGATAAGATTTTATTCAAATTTTTTCAGTTCTCAAAAAAACTCAAATAAACCAAAAAATTGAATAAAACTGCTTATACTTTCCACCAAATTCGCTAAACAACGATACCTTGAAAAGTCTACAAAACTATTTGAGTCTATTATCGCTAGCGCTTGAAACTGAACACATAACTTGTGGTGATATCCAAGTTTAATACTTTTCAGTATCAAATAAAAAAAAACTGGGTACATTATGATAAGAAATGGCATGCTAGAAAGCAAAACTTTTGTTTAACAAATTCCCAAAAATTCGGTTTTTTGGACATTCGGTTTCTCAACAAAAATTATCTAAATTTCAGTATTTGATCATTTTATTGTTCAATTTGTCTTAAAATTTCTCAAAACAAAAGTTTCAACTGAAAAAAATACTGCTAAAAATGGGGCAAGTTAAAAAAAAGGGAAAAAACGTGAAAAATTAATTTTTTTGCAAGAAATTATTGGCAATTGAATGCAGTTTGAAAAAATGAGGACCCGCAAACTTCTACTCAATTTTTGAAAATATATTTTTGCTTCCTATGGAAGCACTTAATTTTTTTTCCAAAGTGATTACCGGAACAAACAGAAAGGCATCCCACGATTGACAATGAAATGAAAAATGCAGCAGCAAACAAACTGTTACCACAAGAATTTTTCAGTGTTAGAGTAATGGATAGCCGGAACAGTTAACGTTCCCAGAACAACATTGTTTAAAACCTAATTGCCCGTAAAAATGTTATCAAATTCATTTGATGCTCGAGCCTTAGTCTAGAACGAAAAAATTTCTCAACACTTTTTCGTTTTGAAAACAGAGTTTAAATGAAAATTTTCCAGTTACTTAATCTATCTTGCGAGGACGCTGAGCATTTTAACGGTTATTTCCCAAATATTGGCGCCAAAATTGCACGAAGCAAACCAACCTAAATTGAAAAAATTTAATCCGTCAGCAGCAATTGATAATTTTGAGAAAATTTAGTATGAGTCATCAAAGTCATCAAAAGTTTAAAAAATAAATAAAACAGAGATTGCTATGATATTATTAATGTTCTTTTCAAACATTAAAAAATACTAACAGGTCATTACAGAAAATTTCAACGACTGCCTAAACTCAGCAGCCAACCCAAATTGTTTCAGAGCTGCAAAAACTGCAGCAATTTTCACGAAAAGAACCAATTTTGCTTCTTCAAGTTCTTGGAAAAAATTTTGAGCGTTTAATTTTCAGACGATCCCAATTTTTTATGTAAACACTTTTTGTATGATCAGAAATATTCAGTTTGCTTTTAAGTCAAAAAGAGCACAAAGGCTTGTGACATAGTTGATCACTCTAATTTGCTAATAAAAGTCAAACCTATGGTATTCAGGGGACCTGTCTTAGTTTTTTTGGAATCTTACCTTGACACTCGGTAGCAGTATTTCAAAAAAAAAATTGTTTAAGGCCGAACTTAAATTGTTACCTTTTGGAGTATCTTAGGGATCTATTCTTGGCCAGTTTTTGTATCATACGATACATTATTTATTTTCAAATGCTCACGGGTAACTTTTGTATGCAGATGACACTATAATGAAGTCCACAAACAAAAAAGATTATATTGTTCTCGCCCACGAGTCGTTTTTGTTTGAAGTAAATTATTGGTTAAAAAAGGACAAATTGACACCAAATGTCAAAAAAAAAATTATGGGCCTCTGTCGGACGCAAAAAGCAGAAAAAAATACCTGTCAGTTTTTTGAACATCCAAATAGAAGATGTAGAGTGTTTCGAACATCTTCCGTTCATCTCGACAGCAATTTGAATTTTCATCAGCATTTTGATCTGGTGAGAAAACAAAGTTTTGAAGTTTTCTGGAGTGTTTTTTGAATTGAGAAAACTTTTAACAAGACAGCGATAAATAATTTTGTATAAAAATTATGTGAAACCATTCATCCAATATGGAGTTTCAGTTTATGCAAACACTGACAAAACCAACTGGAAATTAAAATCAGAAAGCTTATTAGATTATTATTTATCAGCACAGGATGAATACAATCACTGAGTTAATTCATGATAAAATAAATACCATAAGAGATTTTTTTTGTATAGAATTTTGAAGTGAACCTGGAAAGTTATTCGAATAGATTACCAAGTTGATCCATTGAGATATGCCATTTCTAAACAAGAGTTGAACATGATATTTTCAAAAAAAAAAATTAAATCCAATTTCAGCCGTAAACAGATATAAACTCAAGAGAGGGGCAATTAGACCTATTGGCTTGTAATGGCTTATAAATCAACAAGTATTGGCTTGTATTGACTTACAAATCAACATGTTTTGGACTGTATTGGCTTACAAACTAACTTGTATTTTCTGGCTTCAATTGGTTTACAAATCAAAATGTATTGGCTTGTATTGGCTCACAAATCAACATGTATTGGCTTGTTATGGCTTATAAATCAACAAGTATTGGCTTGTATTGTCTTACAAATCAACATGTATTGGCTTGTAATGGCTTATAAATCAGCATGTATTGGCTTACAAATCAACATGTAATGGCTTGTAATGGCTCATAAATCACATGTAATGGCATGTAATGGCTTACAAATCAACAAGTACTGGCTTGTTTTGACTTACAAATCAACATGTTTTGGCTTGTATTGGCTTACAAACTAGCATGTATTTTTTGGCTTCAATTGGCTTACAAATCAAAATGTTTTGGCTTTTATTATCTTACAAATCAACATGTGTTGGCTTGTTTTGGCTCACAAATCAACATGTATTGGCTTGCATTAGCTCACAAATCAACATGTATTAGCTTGTTTTGGCGTACAAATCAAAATGTATTGCTTGTATTGGCTTCCAAATCAACATGTATTGGCTTGTCTTGGCTTATAAATCCATTTTTATTGGCTTGTATTGGCTTACAAATCGTCGTGCCCGAGTTGAATCCCATAGACCAAAAATGCCAGCCATACAGTATCATAAATTAGGTATATGGAAAAAGCTGCTCATACAAATTTTATACGTTTTGCTAAAATCGTGTCATTGATTTTCCAGAGAGCTTTTTTTGTTCTGGCACAAAAGTTGATGTAACGTACTAAAAAAGAAGAACAACTTTTCGACAAAAAATTTAATTTTACAATTTTTTATATGGAAATTGTATGATTAGATTTTTTTTGATGGTGACCACTAGAAGTAAATTTGAAATTACCCCAAAAACTTCTTTGTTATTTTTTTTCAATCACAAATTGAATTTTTTTTCTCAAGCAAATTTTTTCCAATAAAGTTTTCTATGTGCAAACTTTATTTTTTGTGTGCATAACGGACTTCTGGGTAAACTAATATTGTTTTTTTCCTTTCCGCTTTATCTTTTTTTCAAAAATGCTAAAAACAGTTTTTTTTGAATGGTATGTTTATGTATTCCTTAATCAATGTCTGATAATTGAAAAGTTCGAAATAAAAAATATAATCGTTAAAAATTTTTTGTCAAAATTTAAAGTTTTTTGTTTTCTTTGTATCATTTGTGTAAGACAGCTCAATAAGACAATTCTGGCTTTTTCCTAAGCATTATAAATGCAAGATCATCCAACTTTGGTTACTGCAGCTTTTAGTAAACCGAGGTCTTTTTTTTACTTGCGTTCGAGTACTAACACAACGCGAAAAATTTCAGAAATTAAACTTAGAAAAAATATCAAATTGTTTGGTTTATGGAAAAAATACTTGTCATACATTTTTCCTATATGGAAAAATATTTATCATAAAGATTTCCCACAAATTTTTGTACGTATGGAATCGTATGGTAAGGATTTTTTTTGTATATTGAAATTGTATGATTAGAAGTTTTGGTCAACCCGGGTGTTTTGGCTTGTATTGGCTCACAAATCAACATATATCGGCTCGTTTTGGCAAAAAAATCAACAAGTATCGGCTAACAACTTTCGTGTTGTTAGAACTTCATTTTCTGGTCTGTGCCGGTTGGAGAAAGCTGTGGGTCTGACTCCAAATGCGAAGCCACGCCAGAAAGTGCTCACTATCAGAACTTCCTCGGCCTTACAGCTGGAGAAGATTACACCTTCTATTTCCAAAGCGAATCCAGGGGGCTTTTTAGCGATGTCTTAGACCTCAACCAGCCTACGTATACTGCCGACCAGGGTGCTGTTCTTGAAGTCAGCAGCGATTGGGAACAAACTCAGGTCACTTGCACAACTTCGTTTGAGCCAGGAACTGGAAGCATACTTGTCTTTTCCTACATTGGCGAGAACTCTGGAACAACTTACAGCGAAGAAAAAGCGTACACGTTAGTTTTTGGTTTACAAATCATACTAAATCTGACTAATCGATGTTGAATATTTGTACGCGGTGTTTCGGTGTTTTTATGCCGGCTTTTTAAAGTTTTTTGACCATTGCTATGTTATCAAGTGTTGATGCATTGAGACCAATTGTGGGCAGAGAATCAATCCGGTACCAAATCATTTCAAATTGAATTCAAGCAGCTAGTTTTTCCATTTTTTTTTAATTTTTATTTTTGGATGAAATTTTCATTTTATCAATTTAAGGACCATTTTAGTTTGAACATTGAGCTGTGTTGATTTACAATGAAACATTTTTGTCTTTTTTTTTATCCCAAAGCTCTACCTTTTTTCCTTAGTTTTTTATATATTCAATATTGAATAATGACGTTCTAAAATAAGCATCGATAATCACGGTCGATACGGCATTTATTGTATCAGATAGCTCCGACTCCCGGTGTGACTTTACGGGGGGCAGGCGTTCCTCCACAGGGATTCGACCCCCTGCCGATCCAAAGGGTCCCCTCTTTGGTACTTTTTATGGAATCGATATTTTAGCTGACATGCTTTTTCAAAAATGTTCTTGCGGCGCAGAAAATTTGGCCAAAACAGCGTCTTTTTAGTGCTTTTGGAGAGCTCAGAAAATAAATTTATTCGATCTATAAAAAAGTCGTCAAACTTTCGAAAATTTTTTGAAAATCCGCCCCCCTCTAGAAATTCTTAGATCCGCCCCTGTCCGACCTCATCTTTCGTCAGATACTTCGGACCTTTTCGGTTATCCCTCCCCCCTAAATTAGACAAAAATGGACAGAAATTCTTACAACGAAACACAAGGTTATTATCTAGAGCCTTGGAGTGGTTTGGAAATCTGCAAAAAACGCATTTGGACTAATAATTGAAAAATCCTATTATTGAAAAATCTTTTGGACTAATAATTGACCAACATTTGAACAATCCTTTATTTGAAAAAAGGAAAAAAAAGAGATAAAAGGATTTTTTTGCGGCTAAATTAGATGAAATTGCTTCGTTTTGGTCTGCGCCATATTAATTTTCTTAGCTCTTAGCTTTAGCCAGAATTTTTTACTTATAATGATCCAAATTTGCTACAAAAATTTGATTTCTACTTTTAATCTTTTAGGGGCGGGGGGGTTGGGATTGTAACCGAAAATACTTGATATCTCGTTTCTTCTCAACGCTCAAAAACCATGAGTAATCAAAGACGAGTTTGTTTTCAGCTCTTCAACTGTGCAAACAGTGTTCACGGACCTGATGCCGGGCGAGAAATACGACATAACTGTGCAAGCATACAGCAAAGGGCTAATCCCCCTAGTGAAAAATTTCACTCTCGAGGGCTTCACAAAACCCCCCACAATCTCTATCGTTTCTGAAGCAGTGCTCAATTGGGCGGATTTCTCTGTAGACCTCGAATGCTCTTTCGCCTTTGGATACACAAAAGTATTAGCTTAAACTTGAATCTAATCTTCATAATGTTTATGTTCAGGAGCGGGAAGGGGGTTGGGGGGGGGGGGTTCTGAGTTGATTTGAAAAATTAGACAAAAATTGGGTATTTTGAATTGGGTATTTTCATACCCATGAGGAGAACGCAGAAAACGCATTTGATTGACCTTTAAGGGCCGAAAAATTGACAAAGAAAATTTGAGCCCACCTGTCCCATTGGGGAATCCTTGATCTGTCCTTCAAATATTGCAAGTATTGCAATTGAGTCTCATATTTTTAACGATCTTATGCGCTTTTATTTTGCTCTTCAAACTTTCTAACGACCCTATAAGATCGCGAGTGACAGTTATTTAGATTACGCTTCAATCTCGCAGATAATTACAAAAATTGAACTTACTGAGGGGCGGATTTAGGAGGGGACGCCCCACTCAGGGATTCTACCCACTGCCGACCCAAAGAGTCCCCCTTTGGACTATTTTGAAATATCCATTTTTGGCAACGGACCCTGAAACTTGTCTAAAGACGCCTTCGGAGCCATATAGAAAATCTTTGAGGGGAGAGTGCGCGCCAAAAAAATATGTTTGTTTTTGGTCAAAGTTTTCCCAAAAAGTGCCTAAAAACATTTTTGGTCTATTTTTTTCAATTGGCCTATTTTTCCAATTTTTTTAAAAATCCGCCCCCTCCCCTCGAGAAAATCCTAGATCCGCCCGCCTACTTAGCCAGATTTCCGACTAGCTGTTTTTTTACTTGATAAAATCCTTTGTTCGCCACATCATGGTTTGGTGTTACTTTTGTGTTGCGACATTACCCCTCATTAAATTTGAACGGCAGTCAGAACAATCAGGGTTTCGACTTCATACGAGCAGTTCTCTTTGAGTTATGATACGCTTTCTGAATCCTTTATTTTGTCTTTAGGAGGTGAAGATTAGTGAATTAGATGGGAAGTTAACTGATGTAGTTGTTCCGGTCACCATGCAACAGCAGGTACTGCACATTCCCGATTTCACTCCCGGAGACGTGCACCACCTCCGACTCACACCCTACAGTCCCTACGACATACCAGGCAAATATCGTCAAAATTTAAGGATCTCTTTAACCCCAACTATATTATGGTATACCTAACCACCCCTTTCCCCAATTGTCGTATTTTTGTACAGAAAAACCACCTCAATAAAAGGCTAAATGAATGATTAAGCATGTATGGATTTTTTCTACCTCTTTGAATAGGGGGAGAAGTAAAGAGAAGGAAATTAACTTACTTTACGCAGAACAAGGCAGAAAAAAAGTAGGTTGGCCTGTGCGTTTGGTCATCCCAGCTTAGGAGTTCGAACTAGAGGCGGATCTGGGATTTTCTTGGAGGGGGGGGGGGGGGATTTTCAAAAAAGTTCTGAAAAATTTGTCGATCTTTTTTAGGTCGACCAAATTGAGTTTCCGAGCGCTTTAGAACACCAGCAGACCGTAACTTATTGATAAACAGACCAAAAAAGCCGTTTTTGAGTACTTTTTGGAAAATTTGGGCAAACAGAATCGCGTTTTTGGCGCACGCTCCCTCTTAAAATTTGCATATATTGGTGCCTAAGACGCCTTTAAAAGTTTAAGAGTCGGTCAGCCACAGATGGATTTCTGAAAAAGTACCAAAGAAGGACCTTTTGGGTCGGCATGGGATAGAATTCCTGAAAAAAAAGCATTCGCCCCCGTCCGCTAAACCCGCCCCTGGTTCGAACCCCCCTCTCTCTTCACGCAAAAAAGCTAATCCTTTTATGCTAATTGAATTAAGCAGTTATGCCGTTGATCTCTATAGGAGCCGGCAGGGGTGGATCTAGAATATTCTCGAGGAAATAGGGGCAGATTTTCACAAAAATTTTGAAAACTTTATTGGCCTCTTTTTGGTCGACCAAACGGAGAACCCGAGTACTTTTAAAAACATAATAAAGGCCTTGTTTGTACAAAAATATCAGCACCGCAGCCAGGTTTGTGATTCAAAAATGCTATGATGGAAAAACCATTTCTTGGGCATTTTTGGAAGGTTTTGACGACGGGTTGGAATCCTTGAGGGGAACGTGCGTCTGCTGCCCCCTTAAACGCACCCCTGGGTCTCAGTATATTTTAAAGTGAGAAACATTTATGAGCGAATAAAATACAAGGATAAACTGTCATCACTAGTAAAAGCTAATAAATTAAAACTAATAAATTAATGTTTGGCTGGCTGTTGCTAACAGGAGATACCATTTGGCTGAATGTATCAATGTACACGGATAACTTCACGGCAACATTTGCTGTAAATATTGACCAAATTGATGCGGTTACTGTGACTGCCTCCAGAACAGGCGAACACTTCAACATCTCTGTCGTCGGGGAGGAGTACGACGTCACCGACAACCCCGAACGAACATTCGATTTCTCCCAGTAAGTTAATCTGACATCCCGGGTTGAATTCGCATGGATAACCAGCGCTGTTTCAGGTTTTAATGGCAATTATCATACAGGCAATTAGCATAGTTGAAAATTGGCTCTTAGCATAGTGGTAATGCAATCACTTTGCAGTCGCCAGATCATTTAATCGATCCCTTGCCTTGGCAATGGTAGACCTCAAGCTTCAAGTCTATAAGACTACCACAGCCTGATTGATTTCTGCTGCAAATGTGGTACCACGTGAAATTTCTAGACGCAAAAAAACGACCCGATTCTCTATAAAAGAGCGTCCCTCTCCAGTCAGGAATGTGGGAAAATAAGAGAAACAAGCTATGCTCAGAGAGGCTGCAAAAAACGCCAGTTTTTAAATATTATTACAATTATTATTATTATGATTATTATAAAAATTATGATTTTCAGTATGATTTTTGTGAATTATAATAAAAGTCTTTTTAAGTCTTTCATTATGACTATTATAATATTATTTTTAATATTATAATGATAATTCATATTATATTTTTTATATTGATTATTATGATGATTCTTATTGTTTTTATTATGATTTTTACGATTTTTTTTTCAAAACTTTACGATTATGATTTCTACTATTGTCAGAAATATTATGGTTTTTTAGTTTTATTAAGAATACTATGACTTTTAAAAAGTTTCTATTATGATTATTATGATGATTATTATGGTTATTATGATCATAATTTTTAATACGATTATGATGATTGTTGTCATGTTTAATCTGATTATTATGATGATTTTTATCAAGATTTTTATTATGATTATTATGATCAAAATTATTATCAATATTTGAGTATTATGAATGTTGTTATGATTGTTATGACATTATAATGATGATTACAATTATTTTTACGATTTCTATGATTATTATAATTTATATGATGATTATTAAAACTATTTTATGATTTTATTTTTCATGATTATTACGTTTATGAATTTTTTCTTTTTTCTTATGATTACCAACATTATATGTCATTAAGATTATACTCAAGAAGATAATGATTTTTATGATTGATAATATTTTTTTGATTATTATGATTATAATGATTGTCATTATGATTACTAATATTTTGAAAATGATTTTTATGATTATTATGACCTTTATAATGAATATGATGATTAATCTGATTATTATGATTATAATGATTATGATTAAGATTGTTAACATAATTATTACGATTATGATTATGATTAATAAAATTTTTACGATTATGATAATTATGATTATGGTTATGATTAATTCTTTTAATATCAAGATATTTTCATATTTATCAAAATCATAGTAATCATAATAATCGCCATAGTTCAGATAATAATCATACTTAACATAGTAATCATTTAAAATCATAAAAATTTTGATGACAATCATAAAAAGCATAATCACAATGATAATAATCATCATGAGAAGATTTATCTTTTTTGAATCTTTTTATGATCATTGTGAATCATTTTAAGATTAATTTGACATTTATGATAATTATTATCATTTTGATTATGCTTATTATGATTGTTATCATGATTTTTATGGTTTTAAATGATTATTATGTTGAGTATGATTATTACATGAACTATGATGATTATCATCATTACTATGATTATGATAATAATGATTACTATCTTGATGATTATGATTCTAAAATTAGTATGATTAAGATAATTTTTGTTTTTATTTTGATGATTATAATTAGGATTATGATTATCTTGGTTAATACTATGGTTATTATGATTATTATCAATAAGAATAGGTTTATTATGACTATGATTATGATTGGTTTGATGATTATTCCATATTTATGATTATGACTGTTGTGATTTTTAAAATTATCAGGATTTTTTTTACAACTATTATGATTAAAATTGTTATGATTTCTATGATTTTTAAGACTCTTCAATGATTATTGTGGTTCTATTATAATTTTTATCTTGAGTTTTATGATTATGGTATTATCAAAATATCTATGGTTTTTGTGATTATAATTGTAAATATGATAACTATGATTCTTATTAAGATTTTTATGATGAGCATTATGACTGTTACCATGATTGATATGATTATGAATTTTAGCGTGACTTTTTTGATTGCTGTCATTCTTATCATAATTATGAATATGATGGTTATTATGACTTTTATATTATGATTATGATGTTATTATGTTAATTAGGATTTACATTATAATTATGATTATTATGATTATGATTATGATAATTTTGATCATGATTTTTTCTTTTTTGATTCTGTTTTTTTTTATTATGATTTTTTAATTTTTATTACAATCAATGTGATTTATATTATCATTTTTTTTTTCTATTCTCATGATTATTTTCAATGTGATTTTGCTTATTACGTTTTTTTATGATTATTATGATTATCATGATGTTTATCTAAACTATGATGATTATGAATTTTATGAATACGATGAGCATGATAATTTTCATTTCTATTATGCTTATTATGATATGAAAATTATTATGATTAGGGTTATTTTGATTATGATTTTGATGATTTTACTAAGATTATGTTTGTCTTGATTATTACTATGAGTATTTTTATCATTATGATTGTGATTATGGTTTTTACATTATGAATTTGGCTATAATTGTTATGATTTTGATTATGAATCTTATGAATATTATGATGATTATGATTATTATGATTATAATGAACAAAATTAAGAATTTAATGATTATGTTTATTATGATTTTGTTATGATTGTTGTGATGATTGTTATGATTTATTATTATGATTGTCGTAATTAGGATTAACAGTTTTATGGTTGTTATTATGTTTTTTTCATAATAAATTATGGTTTTTTTAATGTTATCACAATTACTATGACACTTTTAAAAGTTTTTTTAATGATTTTGGTTATGATGATGATTATCATCACTTATAATCTGATTATGATTGATAATTTCATCAAGGTTTTTATTATGATTATTTTGATAATTATTAATAGAATTCTGATTATTATTATAACTGTTTTGATTATTTTGAATGATTTTATGATTGTTATGGTCATTATTATAATATTTATGATTATTTTTACAATTAATTTTATTACTCAGTTTTGTGATTTTTATTATGTTTATTCTGACTACGATTTTCATGAGTAATAAGGTTTTGATTTTTATGATGATTATTTTGACTTTGATTTTTTTTGTGATAATTTTGATTCTATTATGATTATTATCATGATTATTATGATTATGATTATTATCAAATAACCTATGATGATTGTGGTTATCCTTACAATTATGATTGTTAAGATTACTAATAAGAATATTCATATGATTATTATGATTGTTATTCTGATTATTTTGATTGTGAATTTTTATGATTTTTATGATTTTTAAGATTTTTATGATTACTGTTATTAAGATTATAACTATGATTAATATGCTTATTATGATTATTATGAATTTTATGATTGTCCTTATGATTTTGATTACGATTGTTTCGATTATAATGATTTTTATGATTAATCTGATTAAAATAAAGTTTTTGATTGCCATTATGATTTTGATTTTTATGATTATGATTGATATAACCTTTGTTATCAATAATATGATTAATCTGGTTCTAGTAAAATGATTATGCTTGTTAATATAATTAATACGATTATGATTGTGATTTTTATGGTTTCTAAGACTAGCATTAATATGATTATGGTTATGATTATTACTATAATGATTATGATATTTTCATTGTTGTTATGATTTTTTTAGTATTGTTATGATCATTGTGAATCATCTTTTGATAATTTTGACTAATATCATGATTATTATCTTTTCGATTATGCTTATTATGATTATTGTCATGATTTTTATGGTTTTAAAATATTTTTTATGATTATTATGATTATTATGAGTATTATCTAAACTATGATCTAATTTTTAAGATTACTATGATTACGATAATTACTATTTTTATTATAGTTTTTTTCAAGTTTATTATGATTAGGATTGTTTTTAATATTATTTTGATGATTTTTATTCAGGTTATGATTATCTTGATTATTACTATGATTTGTATTATGATTATGATTGGGTTATTTTGATTAATATGAATAAGTTTATGATGATTATGACTATGTTTATTTTGATTATGAATTTGATTTAGTATTATGTTTATACTTATTATGATGATTATGATTGTTTTCTTGATTTTTTTTTTGATTATTGTGATTTATAGTTTAATTTTTACGATGAAACTTTTTTGTGGTTTTCATGATTATTAAGATTTTTTTATATATTTTTATTGCGACTCTATTATGATTATTATCTTAATTAATATGATTTTTATGATGATTATGAATATAATGATTATAATGAGCAAGATAATGCTTTTTATGATCATGATTATGAATGTTATTTGATTGTTTTTATCATTATGATTTTGATTAAAATTATTTTATTTTTGTTTATGACTGTGATTACTATGCTTATATTTATGTTTATGGTTATTATGATTATGATTTTTGATTATGTTTTTTTTAATCATAATTGATCTAATTGTTATGATTATGATTGTTAGAACTAGCGAGAAAAGACAAAAAAAGCAGCTTTCCAAAATAAAATAAGGAAAATAAAAAGAAGCCTCGACTAAAACTTTGATACGTATCGGGTTTGAACCTGTGACTTCAAGATTTGGAATGTCACACAAGATTCAAAAATTCACCCGAAAGTGGAGCAAATGGAACAAAATTGAATAGAAAAAACAGTTATGAGAAAAGCGAGCTTTTAATTCAGCTAGTCACTTAAATGTTTTTCGAATTGCTAAAGAACTTTGAAACGTTTTGATTACCATTATGATTTTTTTACAAAGATTTTTAAATTTATTATGGTTATCATGATTATTTTTTTGATTATCATGCTTGTTTTTTTGAATTGGCCTGAGTTTTCTAAATAATTTTTGTAATTTTTAAATATGGCTATTTCAAATGATCTGGAATGCGTCTTGAACAGTTCAGCGATTTTTTTCCTCTTGAGTGATCTTGGAAACTTCACATGATCATGGATAAGCTAAGTGATATTAAATACATTTCCAAAATTTCGGAAATATTGGATCACATTGGTTTAATTATGTGTAATCTTGTCGCTATCTTGGTTGACTTTGGCAAGTCTCAACAATCTACTACAAAAGGACAGTTACAAACTTAATAGCAAGCGAGCTCAAAACTAATTAAAAGCGGGCTCAAAATTATTCTTTATTCCGACTCCCGAAGAAAGTGCGGAACTTCTATGCTTGGGTTGTTTTTTTTTTCGATCAATTTGTCACTTATCAACAATTTTTTATTGTCATAAATTGCAGCCAAAACATACAGATTTTTGCCTATTTCTAAACCGGGATTAATTTTCAACTTATGCGATATTAGCACAAAATATATCGAACTCTAACTGACCCATTTCAACCTAACTGATCTAAGTATTTTAAGAAAATGTTAATTGAAAAATTTTAATGAAAAATATTTTGCGTAATAAGTAGCTAATTCGCGCGCTTGTGATGAAAGGCATGTGATATCATTCGTAATCAAATTTCTTGATTAATTCATGGCTATGGTGGAGATTGTATGGTAGGTCATTTGGGGGGAAATGTTTTGGTTTTTCCGACAATTTTATATATTTTTATTGCATCGACCGAAGAGCAACTTTCAACAAGATGCCATTTTTATTGGCGTGTTTTTCAAGCTGCTCAGTTGTAAAATTGGCAAAAAAGACAGTTTGTCTCAACCAAATCGTTACGGAAGCTGCATAATTTAGGTGGTTTGATGAGAAAAATATACAGGTGCCACAAAAAACCATTAATATTCGCTTCAACCAAAATATTTCAACAAAATAACCTCAAATTTTGATAAACTGATCAACCGAATAGAAACACAAAACTATGCACTTTTAACAGAAAAGACAAGTTAAGATAGCAGGTTTATTTAACCACATTGGCGAAAATAAGATGAAAATTATTTGTTGCAAATAAAATATACAGTTGTGAAATAGATAGTTTTTCGAAAATATGATCTAACGCGTTTTGTACTTGAGTTATCCGACACTATAGGTCCCAAAATTCACATTTTGATGTATATTTTGGTACATACTATCCTATCTACAAGTAATCAAGACAAATTTTTTTTTTCATAAATCAAAATACGACAAAATTGAATTTTTGAATTGATTTCTAGTAGAAAATATATTAGTTTAACAACAAACCTAACCTCGATACCATCAAAAAGTTTCTCAAAGTAAAATAGGAGTATTTATAACTACCTAGGGTAGGCCATCAGGGTTTTTGGCGATTTATTTATTACAAATTTAATTGGAAATAAGACATTAAATTTTTTAAATAAGTCAGAACGATGTTTCAAATTTTGTTGTATGAAGTTTTGAAGTCCAGTCGCTGGCATGATCGAGATATCTTACTTATTAAATACCTGCTTATACCACATTAGCTTGTCGAAGGTTTTTGAGGTGATAACCGCTAAGCGCTTCAAAATTGATCAAGTCAGCGTTTTGAAAATTTTATAATAGTGCTTCAACTAAATTTGCTTAAGCTTCACTTTAAAACGTAATTTAAAAAAACTCAAGCAAACTTCATTCAATTTTGGGCCATATTGCAGATGCCGGACTATATTTTGCCGGACTCTTGTCTTTTTTTCTTAATTAAAAACTGGGTTCCTTTTTTGGGAATCTATGGGAGCTTCAGTGCGTTGGCTCAGTCTCCGCTTCTCAATCGACATGTCAGAGGTTCGAGACCTGCCATGTCACCATATTTTAGCTTGAGAATTAGGCAGATATCTCCAAAACTGAAATGTACCAAAATTGAATGTAATTGTTTACCGTTTTGCCTGTTGTTCCTTTGTCTCTTGAGTAAAAAAATCAAAGTTTCAATGATACAAAGTAAAATTTCAAGACAGTGAAAAAATTGGGCATTTCATTGCCTTTCAGAAGAAATTTTGCCATTTCATTTTGCCATTTTATTGCCTTTCAGCGGAAAAAATTCAATTTCAAGTTTGAGCAAGAAATTTTGAAACAGGATAACTTTTTTTCCTTATTTACCTTTGTGTTTTTTTTCTCTGTGTTTTTTTTCTGCGTGTTTTCTTTTTAGTAGGCTTCAAAAACATTGTTTCAGGTTGAGTCGGACAAACAACTTTAAGGATCTGATGCCAGGAGAAAATTACACATTCACTATCAGTTCTACCAGCAAATCCGACCAATACACTCAAGCACTGAGCCACTCGAGTGAGTTTGAGGTGGTAGCGACACCAATTGAACCCCAACCGGTGCCTCAGAACTGGAATGACGACTGTGAAATCATAGTGCCATCATACCCTGGATACGGCCACATCCCAAATGTCACCTGGAATCTGAATTACGGATTTGGTCCATACGTATGTTGACGCGCTATAAATTGAACCTAAAAGAGCATTGGTTTTTAAGCATTGTAATGATACTACCAAAGTTTCGGCAACACTTTTCTTTATTTGGATCTGAAAAAACTAGTCCTGAAAAAAAAAACAGATAACTTCTGTTTTTGATGTTGGTAAACTTTTATACGAAATTCTTTGTGAAAACAATAGGCAAAGAGGCTCAAATAATCTAAAGAAGGCTGCCAAAAGTCCGGATAGTCAAAACAAAATATTGCAACTTACCTTTGCAAAAAAAGCAGCAGCAGTTTTGACGTTTAAGACAACCTTTGACAAATGAGATCTGTGTGAAAAGTAATTTTTGCATGTAATTTTAGCAAAATTAATTTTTGCACTTACCTTTTCAAAAAAACCACCAGCAGCAGCAGTTTTGATTTTTAAGTCAAACTTCACACATGAAATCTGTGAAAATTAATTTTTGCATGCAAAATTTTTCCGAAGTATGTCAGTTGCTTTTAAAACAAGGTCTTGTCTATTTTCAGCCTAAAGTTTTGAGCGCAAAAATTTAGATAATGTCAAATGCTTGCCATTATCCGTTTTGGTCAACAAATTTGATTAAAGTAACTTGAAACTGCGCATTTTAAGATCACAAACCAATCCAGTCACGTTAAGCGCGTAGAAACTTTGTGAAAAAATTAATTAACCCAAAAAGCAACGTTTTTACCAACTTAGATGCTTAAAATCTGCGATAATTCCCCATAATTTGGCTTTAACTATTGATTGCTTTTTCAGCAGTTTTTTAAAGTTTAATTTAAAAGCAAAAAAACTCAGAAAAAAAATTTTGAATAAAAATAATTGACTCATTCTGAAAAAACGCGTGGAACAGCATTTTTTCAGACCGCAATTGTGTCTCAAGATTATCTGAAACAACAAAAGTGTATGCGCAACAGTGTAAAAACGGAAAATTGCCGTTTTTTTTTTAATTCTGTGCCCGAAATGCTTCAAACTCCCCATGCCATTAAACTGGGAATATTTTTTCCGATTAACAAATTGAAACACATTTACTGAACTAAAAGGACTCTTTTTGATTTAAAAACCCAGTTATAACGCTATTCAAGACATCAACTAATATAAAAAATATCAGAATCGAAAATATCTTTATTTTTTTTGGCCAATTGAGAACTCAAGGATTGATTTTGTAAAAAAAAGAGATCAATGATTCAATAAAAAAGATAGGTTTTATTTATCTTTAGACAAACTGTAGATTAAAGTTGAAAAATTCTTCAAAAATTTAATTTGAGTCAATCAAAGTTTACTAGTCGTTCTTCATAACTAGGTGTACAAAATTCTACAAAAAGACTTCGCGTATATCAAGGCAATCTATTGATGGTTCCGAGTCTAATTAGTCTCGAATCCTTTTTGACAAAAAATTTTTAAACTGTAAATTTTAGACCGTCAATATCAAACATTAGGTGTTAAATTTGAATCAGTAAAGGCAACTATTAAGAAGACTTCGCTTGCCTCATTTCAATAAAGAGCCGTTTTGAATTAATTTGAAAAAAAAAATCGGCGTAAGAATTTCATCTTCATAATTTAATTTACCAAAACCAGCATAATCTGGCCCGGTTTTTGGCTTAATTGTCAATTTTGAAAATGAATGAACATCAGAAAAAAAATTTTTTTTTTGTTAAAATTGAACCGGAAAACCGTTGTTTTTATTAATAAAATTCGTTAAATTTTATTCGCAAGCATGTTTTACTTTCTTTTTTTGAAAGTAGGACAGGAAATAATATTAAAAAAAATTGCTTGTCTAAAAAGTGGTTGAGTCATTTTAGTTTGCAAGGTTTCACAATTTGCGTCTTGTGAAATTGTTCTTGTCTCGTTCAAACAAATCATTTTCTGAAATATATTTTTTTGAACAACTACTTGAACAATAATCAAATTTGACTAGTTATTGGTAAACACTGAGCGCAAGCTCTGTACTTTTTGAGTTTTTACGTTATTAAGTCGATTGAGAATTGTATTTAATCTGAGCTTGTGATTGATTTTTAAAAGTTGAGAAAACAAATGCGTTACAATTCATTCGTGCCTAAATTTTTTTAAACAAAATTTTGATACATTTTCGGAGAATAGCGAATAATTTAATTAACGCTGGCAATACACAACGTAGTTGATTTTGTTGTTTGGGATTCGGATATTTTTCATCAAGCTTACAGACAAAAAGTTATCACAAAACCTTTTGAAAGTATTTGACTTCGTGTTTATGTCAAATATATAATTTTGACCTTTATCTTGTTACAATTATAAGCAGCAGCTCAACAGGTGGAGAAGCCTGCTTGACACAAAAACGAAGTGAAACTTAACAGGGAGTTTTTCAACAAAAACAAGGGCAACCTTAGTGTTTTCTGCATTCAAATCTTTCTTTATTTTTGCTTCTCTCTTATAAAATTTGAACTTTTTTTAGCGAAATTCAGCTATTTGAAGAAGAAAATCAAATGAAAAAAAAACGTAAGTAAAATTTAACTTTGAAAAAATGTGTACCAAATTAGAAAAACTCTTAAGAAAATTCAATTCGAGTCGTGCTGTATAACTAGATCCAAAAAATACGGCAAAAAGCCAAGAAGACTTGGCGTATTTCAAGGCAATCCTCTGATGGTTCCGGCTGTCGTTTAAATAGACTCCAACCAATTTTAAAAACCAAAACTATCAATATCAAGTTTTAATTGTTAAGTTTGCGTCAGTAAAAGTAAAACATTTTTTGAACAAAAACTATTCATAAACACTTCAATCTGATTAATTAATGCTGAAAATTGAGTGCTAAGCTCTCTCTATGTTTAGTAATTACGTTTTTACGTTGACTGAGAAATGAATTTAACATAAACTTCTGCGGTACACTTTGTAGTTGAGAAAAAAAAATCGCTAACAATTTTATCAAAAACTAATATTTGTTCTTGCCTCGATAGTTTTTTTTCGGAAGTTAGCGAATAGTTAAACATGCACTAGCAGTGCGAAGTGTAGATTGTTTTGTTGTCTGGGATAGGAAAATTTCTTATCAAGCTCACAGATGAAACATTTATCAAAGAACCATTTGAAAGTGTTCGATCTCATTTTTATGTCAAATGTAGCTTTGGCTTTTATCTTGTAACGATTTTTGGCAGCAGTTCAAAAGCTGGAGAAGCTTGCCTGACACAGCAGTGAAGTGAAACTTAACAGGGGATCTTTTAACAGAAAAAACAGGGGCAACCTTAGTCTTCTCGGCGTGCCATCCTTTCTTTATTTTTGCTTTTTCTGGTAAAGCTTGAATTCTTTTTGCAATTTTTTTTCACTGTTTTGGTTTTCCAAAGGCAAAGGAAACTTGAGAAAAAGCTACACGAAGCATTGTTGTTATACGTATACATTTTGTTTTTGAAAAGCATGAGCTTCACAAAAGCGTTGTTGTTATACTTATAAGCCTCAATTCTAGATTAGAGTTTTAGTTTGATAAAAACAACACTTTGTGTAGGTAATCAGAAATAAACGTTTTTTGCACTAACTAATACCAATGTCAAAGACTGTTCTCAAAAGTATAGAGAAACTAACTTTTAAAAATCAGGACGAAACGAAAACATTATAAGTTTTGATGAAATTTCTTAATGAAAAAATGAGTGTAGATCTTGCGGTGTTCTGGCAAAATAAGCATTCTCAAAATGACCAAGGCAAACAAAAATATATTTCTGACCATATTTTGAGTCACGTGGATTCAGTTCTTATCATCAAATGCGTCTTACAAAAAACTCTATTAGTTTTTATCTTGAAAGTTTTTTGTATGATTCTTGCGAGGTTTGCAATTCACATTAAAAATCCAAATCTTATAAAACTTTTGTAAGATTCTTGCTTTAGTTTACTTTTTTCATTTAGTTTCAATATGGATCTCATACCTCGCAAAAATCATGCAAAAACTTTGCAATGCAAAGTTTATTGAACAGTTTTTTGCAATATAGTTTTCTTAAACTTGAACCATTTGATTAATTAAATAACGGATTTTTAATTTTTTGCGCTGGTCGTTTTAAGAATTCCAATAATGAAATAAAACTAACTATTAGGAAAAAATCATAATTAAAAAAATGATAGATAGAATTAAAATTTTTTAAAATTAAGAACAAAAATAGAAAAACTCTTAGAAAATTCAATTCGACCCGTGCTTCATAATTATATCTTTAAAATACTACAAAAAGACAAGAAGACTTCGTGTATATCAAGTCAATCAATTGACTGATGGTTCCGACTGCCGCTTAAATAGTCTCGAATCTTTTTTGACAAATATAGCATTCGTTAGCTAAAAATTTTAGACTGGCATTATCAAATATCAAGTTTTCAGTTTGAGTTATTCAAACCAATTAAAATGAAAATTTAGCTTGCATCATTCAATTCAGAGCAGTTTTGAATGATAGTTATTTTGATAAACATAAAGTATTCGACGTAACAATTTCAGCAATGCAATTGTGCATTTGAAGTCATCACAGCGCGCATAATCTAGCTCAGATTTTGACCTAACGGTCTTTTCTGAAAATGACTGAATATAAAAATGTAGGTAAAAATTAATTTTTATCTAATTTGAACTGGAAAGCCGATGTCTAACCATGTTGAAATTTCATTGGAAAATTATATTGTTTCATTCCAATAAAACTTCTTTTTTGCTTCTACTTTTTTGCAAATAATCTTTCCATTCACATTACCCAAATTTTGTTTTTGCTCTGTATGAAAAACCATTTTAGCACCAAAACCCATCACAAATCAGCTGAACTACGCAAAAACCACATAGTGTATTTAGTCTCTCCGATTTTTTTAATAGCAAAATTGAACGAGCTAAAAAACTCAGTCCAATTTTTGTCTAAGGGTTTGAAATAATTGAAAATTGTCTCCATCATTCAAGTTACCAGATAACTTTTAAGCAAACTAGTCGTTAGTAGCACATGAATCGATTAACTCAAAAAAATTGAAAGAAATAGAGTTTGTCTTGAACAGAGACAGGCAAATGAGTTTAA